TATTCTCCCCCCCCCCCCCTCCAAATTGTACAATATTTATAGTCTTACCATTATTTGGTAGATCTCAATTCTGCTCCCCCCCCCCCCCCCCCCACCCCTTGCACAATATGGTCTCTGTATAAAAATTTATATCAAATGGACCTTTCTTCCCCTTGCACAATATGCTTTTTGCGTAATCACATAGACACCCCCGCCCACCCATCCACCCTTGAAAAACTTGGTCTCTCTATTTTACTTGGTATTTCAAATAGACTACTTCCACAGTGAGTAGTAAACTGAGCATATGCTGCTGCCTCTGTGCGCCAACATAGCATCATGTCTGTTGGTGGTGACTCATCTTATCTGCATGGTATACCCAGTATATATACATCCTGTTGTTGTAAACAGTGTGTATGTGTAGTGTGTGTGTGAGAGAGAGAGAGAAGAGGGGGTGTTATATATATGTGTATGTGTATGTGTGTTCTTGTGTTCATTTGTGTACATGAGAGAGAGAGAGAGAGAGAGAGAGGGAGGGGGAGCATACACCTTTTCAAGCCCCCATAAGTGCACAAGGCATCAGGTGTGGTGCATTGATTTCTCTAAGTTGTATGACACACCAGGTACAAATGCACGCATACCATCCAGCTGATTGCAAGTACATAGAGCTCTAGTATATAAATACTAAACCCAAGCCCATTGAAGCAGTGGTAAGGTCCATGCCTGACATATCATATAAAGTAATGCACAGCCTGCCTCTCTGGTCTGGTCTGACTCATCTCTGCTATATGGAACAGGATTTGCCTTTCTTGCTTCTTTTTCAGTGCCATGTAGACTTCCTGCATACTCTGCAAGTGTGTACACACACTAGCACACATTTTCCATCCCTTCTCTCTCTCTCTCTCTCTCTCTCTCTCTTCAAACAGATGAATAGAAGAGGGAATGGCTAGGATTGTAAGAGGAGGGGAATATCCTTGAAAAGTCAGCTAGCATTCCATTCAAGTCACCACGTTGTTGACCAGTCCCTTGCCCCCTGTCCCGTATACAGTGTCCTGCATACAGTATCCCATGTACAGTTACCCTTGCAGTGCCTTTTGTCCCATATATAGTGTCCAGTGTATCATGTACAGTATCCCATGCACAGTATTTTTTGCCCCCTGTCCCATGTAGTGTCTCATGTACAGTGACAGTAACCCTGGAAAAGTGACCAATACACAGTTACACATGTAATGTGCCCCATGTTGTGTCCCATATAAAGTACAGTGATGTACAGTGACCCGTGGACAGTGTTGCGTGTACAGCATACCTGCAGCCTGTTGGTGTGCCTGACCTATGTACCATCTCCATTCATCTAACATATCATTAGTGGCAGGCTAAATGACATGTTACAGTCAACAACACACCCTTCAGTGGGCGCATTCCCATTCAAGATGTTCTGGCTTTACTTAATAGAGAGTGCTACATTTTTAGCCTATTTCACAAACTAAAGAAGTTTAGCTTTTAAGTTTTTTATAGCTTTAGTGGAGGCAAAAGTCTTCTGGGTTTAGCCAAAAGTATTAAAATTTGAGTATTGTATATAAAGAACTTCATAGCTTGTCAGTTAAATAAAACGGTCAGTTAACCAGGTTGTTTTAAAACAAAAATGTATTTGCACACTGGGGCCTCCAAACAGTAGGTAGTGAACTTGTTAAATGGAGCCCCCCTCTCCCACCCCCACCCTCTTGTTGCGAGATAACATGTTAAGACCAGTCCATCTGTATAATACAGTAAACTATACTGGACACTCAACGTGAAATGGGCTTATCTTTAATTTATACCTTCGAATGCACAGGTTTTTAGTTCACTTAATTTAATAGTGAGTCCATATTGTAAGTACGCAGCCTGGGACACAGCGGTACTAAGTTAAGCAAAAAATGTACCTTCAAGGGCACATTCCCAATGACATTATTGTTCTATGTAGAACAATCCAACTCTGCAGGCACTCTCACTGAATGAAATCAGCTTAACAAGTCTCTTGTTTCCACCATACTACTTGTACCCTATATAATCACCTGCTTTTCTGTATTCTAGTCAACACCAGGTAATCTGTGTTAATTTTCTAATCTGATTGCATTCTGGGAGAGTCCTCCCAGAACCCTAGAATGATATTTCATTGGGAACGAGCCCTTAAAGTGTCATAACCATGGTGCTCGTGTCCTGTAGCTTTGGGTGCAGGTTTTGTCGTAATGTGGATTTTATGCATGGCAGAACAATCGAAACTAGATGCGTTACGATGCATTATCATTTGTACATTAAAGCAGTCGTTGGAGCATTATATTGTGTATTATGACATTAAGCCGTGCGAAATGTGATCTCGTTTAATAGTAAATGTAAGCCAAGCCTAGCACCTTGAATTGAGGAAGCACCATAAGATATAAACATGTTGATAATGACACATAAAAATATACTCGTAGTCCCATTAGTCTTAGTAATATATTTATGAGGAGAGCTTGACGCGACATTATTTACAACATGTTAACTGTCTGATATGTGTGTTATTCACAGTATTCATGTCTCTTTATGTAGGCCAAACCTTGTTGTACCAGATCACACCGTACGGCCATTATAGTGTCACTGGGGCATGCCAAAACAGAGCTGCACCTGTGTATTTTATTTATATTTTCAAAAAAAAAAAAAAAAACTTAAAAGTGGAAGATATATTCGGTCTCTCAACATGTAGTCATAGATATATTTGAACTCTTTGTTATATTGATTATTGTATACTTTGTGAACTTAAAATATCTATTTATTTATTTATTGATTTATTGATTTTATTCTAAAAACTCTTATGTGTAGCTAACTAGTAAGGGTCTTGGGTCCATTTGATCACATATAAAGAGACAGTAATGTTTTCTTTTCTCAGCTAGGAGCACAATGCTACGCGCAGTTTAACCTGTTTTGTTATATGCTCAGGTGTTTGCTGGCCCCCAGTGCATTCTAGTCACACTCTCACCAGCCAGCTAGACAGACTTGTTTCTTTATATATATATTGTATTAATGTTAGCATTACGCCATATGTTGAGTTGAACCTGCCTTAGTCTTTAATGACGTTATTCGTAGTTTTATCCACCAAGAGTCTTCTTGGCATTGCTGAGAACAGCTGTGGCTTCTTTAACATATACTAGTATGAGAGTATGAGGATCTGTAGGTTTTATGGACATGAGACTGGTGTCGAAAAAAAAAACTGATATTTTAGGGCACCTTCAAGTGCACGCCTTCTTCACAGACACACACACACACTTATAGTAATGATGATGATTTAATATTCAGGCCCGTAGCCAGGGGGGGTTCGGGGGGTTTGAAAGAACCGCCCCTTTTCCTGGGAAAAGGTCCACTCTGGGTAAAATTTGATCTAGGTACATGATGTTTATATGGAAAAAGGTCCACTTTTTCAGAAAACGAACCCCCCTTTTGAAATTGCTGGCTACGGGCCTGATATTCATTGTGGTTCATTTATCATAATGCTAATGGCCACACATGAGAACTGTTGAGCTGTTACCTCTATCATATATATAGATAACGTTTACACTGCTACTTTGCAGGCTTTACATACCTGGCACTTGATTTACTAGTGGACTTGATCTTTGCTAAGAAAACAAGGAAGTTAGCTTTAAAAAAATCAGAATAAGGAAAAGTAAGGCCTTGAACCAGCTGAATGTGTTTAAGGCATTCAGATTGTGTTGTTGTTAATTTTCGATTTTTTGCACCATAGTTGCATAATGCGAGGCAAAATGATTGTTTGATTCCGTCTGCTTGAACCTCATTTTCCCCATAGTATAAGAAAACAAATGTTGCCCTTTCTACTTCATATGTACTCATGCCGTGGTGATCAATTCAAATGTAAGTTTAAACAGTAAAACAGCATAAGATGCAAGCTAACAGTATGTATATAATAAAACAAATTCAAGTTTTTGGTCTCTTTAGTTGCTATTTCAACACTTTTTCTTAAAGTCCAATATAAGTATCAATCTATCAATTTATTCAAAATGCTATATTCTAAGTATTTCTCCAGTATTCTTTCTCCCTCTCACCTAAATAGTACACTACCATTTATGTTTAATGCTGAGGACTATTTACCTTGATACAAAAAAAAAAGAAAAGAGAAGCATCTAAACACATCTCATTAAATTGTTATATATCCATATTGAGACATAACTATTAGTAACACATGATGGGAGGTCAAGTCATTAGCGTCTTGTTGCATAGGAGTTTTACACTGGTGTTGAAATTAATGCTAATTGCAATGTTGAAGTTGTTACCAACAAGATAATCTTTTTAATATGAGATGTACATTCATGTTTGTTATTTTAATAGAACGTAAAAATTTTGCATTTTGAAAGCCATCAACGATAATGGAATTTTTTTTACTAGTAAATCAGTTGCTGGAAGATTTTTGCTTTTGCAATTGAAATTCAACCAATAAATGCCAGACTGGAAGTAATTATTAAATGTGATCAAGTTAGCTGCTCAGTAGTAATAACTTATTAGAAAGACAAAATACTTTTTCTGATATAGCTCTGTAACAACATTTTAATAAGTACAATGTCTTTAAAATACCAAGGAAAAAACTTATTCAGCCATCTTTTCACCAAGTGGTTATATACATGTACTAGTACTTAAATTTACATCCACTACAGTTAAATGAATCATTCATAATAGCTTTTAAATGAAGACATCCTAATTTTTTCACTTTTCCCCATTAAGGTTGTTGTTATTGTCTGTATGGTAAATAATATATATAAGGCTGCACTCACAACAGCAGTCTAACCAATCTGTGGATCAAATATGGCCGACCCCTTTGAATGCTTGCCGTGTAATCCCATGGGGAATCTTTTAGCTATATTCACTGTCTATTAGGGGATTATGTGGTGAGCTTTAAAGTGGGTCGCCATATCCGGTTCGTGGATCTGTTTGTCTGATATTGTGAATGTGGCCTAAGATACCTGTCAAGTTGTTGAAATAATTGCATGATTTATATTTTTTAGGGTCGACATACAAAAACAGGACAGCTTGCTGCCATCAAGGTGATGAGTGTCACACCAGTAAGTATTACCCACTTATTTTTTAATTGTGATAGTGAAATTTGCATCTGTGAAATCTTTTATATAAGGAGTTTTGTTTTAGTCAACTGTTTTAATTAGCTGGACTTAGAGAGAATACAAAGTAATGCCAATGATGATTTTTACCTAAACTAGAATTTTATAGCTATCAAAAGCAGTTCAGTATTCAGTATTAGATGTAAAGTTAAGAAGTACTTAGCCATGATGGGATAGTCCATGACAGACCATTTCGTAGTGGGACAATCCATGGTAGACATCCCATGATGGGACACATGATACCAAATGTTCTATTAGACTGTTTTCAAAGTTCTGAAAAAATATTTCATATCTTGCACTGGAAGCAGATCCTTGATTTCACTCCCCTTTTCTTAACCCAATCCACTCTTCGGTGCACTGATTTGTGGAATATAAGCTCATTTAGATCTAATATGCAGCCTAAGTCTCCCAGAACACTGAAGTAATGATGACATTTCATATTTCCAGGATGAAGAAGAAGAAATCAAACTAGAGATTAATGTACTTAAAAAGGTAGGAATATTTACATCCTTATTTACACCCTGAGTAAAAATAGAACCCCTAATGGGATAGAACTACAAACATGGCAGCCATCTTGAAGAAAAAATAAATGATACCTTATTTGGCCATTGTTTGATGTTAGCCCTTTCAATTTTTATAACAGGTCTTAAAGCAAAGTTGTGTATTCATTTTGTGCAATTTATTAAATTATCGGAAGGTATTTTAAAGAAATTGTAGTTTATAGACGCAAATTGCACAGCGGAAGTGTATGTTTACATTAATGTCTTTAAGTAAACTTTGTGAATAAAATAAGCTTCATGAATTAAATCAGTTCTCTATTTCACTACTTCTACCTGTGTGTGTGTGTGTGTGTGTGTGTGTGTGTGTGTGTGTGTGTGTGTGTGTGTGTTAAATGTGTCATAAATCCATGTTTCTGGATGTATAGATATTTATTTCATAATTTATTTCAGTACTCTCACCACAGAAACATTGCCACATATTATGGTGCTTTTATTAAAAAGATGCCTCCGGGTAAAGATGACCAACATGATCAGCTATGGGTAAGTCTGCCTGTCAACTTTCTAACAATTATACAGAGGTCATTTACATGTTCAGTGGCATATCAGGGTTATCAAAGTGAATTTTTGGTTGATTTATGTATCATTTTAATGTAGTGCAGATATGTCTTGCAATTACTGCTATTTGTGGAGTATTCAGTGCTACCTAAATAAAATGATTTTATGCGTAATATAAATGGTACTACCATAAGTCTTTATGCTTGTACAGCTATGGTATACGATTTCAGCTCTTCATGGATTGGAGTGCATCAGTGCTGCCTCTATAACAGATATAGAGAACTAATACTATGCATAATATGTACAGGAATATACTGATGATACTATGTACAATTTCAGCTTGTCATGGAATACTGCGGTGCTGGCTCTATTACTGACCTGGTCAAGGCGACGAAAGGTGGAGCGCTCAAAGAGGAGTGGATAGCTTACGTTTGTCGGGAGATTCTCAGGGTAGGACTTAATATGAAATTTTTCTGTTTATGAATTAGCTCTGTCCTCTCTAAGTGTCTGTCCATTATGTGAAGCCAGTTTGTAATGGCCCCTTTTTGCACGTTATGTTAAATTTTGTTGAAACTGAAAATATTTTCTCTTTCCCAAAGATATGGTAGTATTCACGAGGACCATTTAATGTTGTCTTTTATATTATGTCAATTTTGCATTTACTCTTGTATTATTCCCTATGTCATGCTTTAGCTAAACTAGAAATAATTCCTCCTCCCCAGTGAACTAGAAATATTCCTGAAATAAATTACGTTGGTCCCAAAACCCCTGTTTTATGTACTTCTTTGCATTATTCTTACAACTTATAAGCTATATCTGTTCACAGGGTCTATCCCACCTCCATGCCAACAAAGTCATCCACAGAGATATCAAAGGACAAAATGTGCTGTTAACAGACAATGCTGAAGTGAAATTAGGTAAGATACATCACCTTATTAAAGATAGTAATCAGTTCTAAGTTCAAAGTTTTATTGTTTTATTTAATGTCTGTATGATGATCACTGCTGGAAAATTTTCCAGGGATTCCTAAATAATCACCGAGGTGGAAGATGTGCTTTACATTATTAATCTGATTGCTCAGAATTTGTCCCTTAGCAGAAACCACAGTTTGTGTATATGTTTAATGAAGGCTATTGTTACATTTCATTAGAAAGCAATACCCCGTCTCACTGAGAATCACTTTCTATGCATTTGAAAATGAAATTAAAGCACAGCGTGATTGAAGCTAATTTGACACAAATGCGAAAATATCTCCTCTTAAAATCATGGTTTTCTACACAGTGTGATGTCCATTATGTGATGTGATTATTCTGATTGGTGTTCAAGATATGTCTTCCATCTCCCCAAGGGGATTTCTCATCTGTCAGCTGTAGCTAATGGCCCATATGCTATTTCTTTCTAGGCACATTTAGACATGGGCTTTTGTATCTAACATAAATGGGCCTAAAGCCTTTTCTTACCTGTCGGCGAAAGTAATTGGTCAATATGTTGATTTGTTGTTGACACATTTAGACATGAAGTTTTGTAGAACGTAAACTGGTCTGAAATACAACATAAAATGCCCATTTTCTTATCTGTCAATTCAAGCATTTGCTGATTTGTTGCGGACACATTTAGATGTGGACTTTTTTAGAACATAAAATGGCCTTAAGCACAACATCAAATGGCCATTTTCTTATCTGTCAGCTGCATATAAAGGTTCATATGTTGATTCCTCGAAGCCTTGCTTAGACATGAGTGTTATGAACTGTAAGTGGATCAAAGCACAGCATCAGGTGACCAGATTGATGAACTGAGAATTTTTCAGCTTTAAGAAAGGCACATATTTGGTCCTGTCATGATATATTGATATTAGAAATGTATCCACATTTTACATTTAAATTTCATGATGTTAACCATGTATTTGTCTCTGCAGTTGACTTTGGAGTGAGTGCTCAGCTAGACAAGACCATTGGTCGTCGGAACACATTTATTGGGACACCATATTGGATGGCCCCAGAAGTGATAGCGTGTGACGAAAATCCAGATGCCACTTATGACAACAGGGTGAGATTTTGGTTTTCAAGTGATTGTTAATGCACTGTTCTGAATGTATATTATAGAAAGATGATACTTGTGTTTCATTTGCGACTTATTTGTGTAACTGAAGATGTTATTTTGTTTACTTTCAGAGTGATCTGTGGTCTCTAGGCATAACTGCAATAGAAATGGCAGAAGGCAAGCCACGTAAGTGACATGAGATATACTACATAACATTTATAATGTTAGCTTTAAATGTGAACAAAAATTTTTGTTGAGCAGCTCAAAATGAAACTTGGCATCATGGCGTTTTTTGAGTTACCTTTTATTTATACATTCATCAGATTTCATCTAAAATTCTATTTCTAGGTCACTGTTATGATGTTAATAATGCTAAAGATTTTATACATTTTGTAATAATTTGAAAAATGTATATAAAGGCTCTTAAAACTACTGACTTTAACATTGTTAACTTCAGTGGAAAAAAGTCATTAAATGTTCCCTCCATGATTCGTAAACTAAGTTTATTCTTTTTATTTTATGTCTCTCTATATTTTCCTATTATTTCAGCCCTATGTGATATGCACCCAATGAGGGCCCTGTTTTTGATTCTCAAAAATCAACCACCAAGACTCAAGTCCAAAAAATGGTGAGCTTTTAATTGAATCAAAGTTCTACAAATTAGAGAGTAGTTTCTTTTATTTTTATTTTTATTTATTTGATTAAAAAAATACTTGTTACCCTTTTAGCTTTCGGTTAAAAAAATTTGATAATTTTAGTCCATTGTGACCTATTAAAAGTCAGTTTATTGATAAAGTTTATCATTACTGTTTTTGGTGAGCTTAGAATTTCAGGAAAATTATTGTAATTAAGACAAGAAATTCAAGAAAGATACATGAAAGATACAAATTCAGGAAATTTCTATTCAGCCATGAAAATTACGAAATGAAACTGTGTAATGGAGTAAGTCATGTTTTTACAAGATTTTGTTTCTCCATAGGTCGAAAAGGTTTCAAAATTTTATCGAAGTGACGTTGTACAAGGATTACACCCAGAGACCAAACACTGAGCAACTGCTGAAGCATGCATTCATACGAGACCAGCCCACAGAAAGGCAGGTCAGGATACAGCTCAAAGACCACATTGACAGAGCCAAGAAGAACAGAAAGAGTAAGTGGCTCCATCTATTTTAAAAATGTTAAACAGTAAGTGGCTCCATCTGTTGCACATATATGAAAACATGAGAAGCAATAAAAGATTAATGTTTTTTTTTTTTTACTTAAAAAGGTTAGCTTTGCATATTTTACATAGACTGCTGTAAAGTTCAATGAAGAGGTATGATTTCCCAAATATTAACCTGCCCATACTTGACTTGGTGTCTTCTTTCTTAGTGCTCCTTTCATTCAGTTACCCCCTCTGTACCCCCTCCACTCCCCCAATCCCCTCCAAGCAAGATTACTTGAATCTGCAACGTTAGCACAGACCTGAAACCAAATTACAAGGAAATTTGAAGCCTGCCTGGCATGATTCTGTAAATTTGTTCAGTTGCAGCTGCTTGAAGCCAATAGATTTTTTAGACCCTGGTGTTTTCAAAGAGTCAATAGGCTATGGCACACAGACTGTATTACATTCATATAACAACAGAAATGTTCCATTTTGAAGAATGCACAATAGCCAATAAACATAATACAATTATTGTGAAGACTATTGGCTTTTTACACACCAACATGTGGTTTAGTTCAAGAATTCACTACATCTCCACTGTAATTGTATTATTGTTGAATGGCAGGTCAGGAAAATGTCTTTAAAATTAGATTTTTTGCTGCATCTGTTTGGTCTTGATTTGTAGCAGTATCTGCTAAATGCCATTTCAGTAATGTGTGTATATTTCAGGCATGTTAATGGGAAGGAGAAACAAACAAGCATTATTATTGTAATATTTTGACCCATTTCATTTTACTTCATCCAGCGACAGACCACGACACGGACTATGAGATGTACGAGGAGGAAGAAGACGAGGAAGAAAACGCATTAGCTGGAGAACCAAGGTAATAGTCGACAAATGATTTTACAGATAGATGGAGGTAACGGCAAAATTATCACCTTATTCATGCACATTTGTTTAAATACAAGTAGCTGCTATCAGCAACACACATTTCATTTTAGTTTATGTTCAGTTATCAATCTGTGCAGGGGTGTGATTTTTCAGGACATGCCCTGATTTTAGAGGGCTTAATTCTGATAAAATCACATCACTGATAACATTGGGTTGGTATAACTTAGTAAGTTAATGGTGTGTAGCAAGAGTATGAATGAAGCCTACATAAAGGCTAATGCTTCATATCAATTTTGCCTATCCCATAATGCTAGGAGACAACCCAGACCCAACAGGTAGGTGTCACTAGTTGTTGTATGTCTGTACTGTGTCCAGGATAAGCTGAAATATTGTTTTTGTTGTAATATTTTAAATGATGTGGTATCATGTAAAATTATTTTTATTTGTAAATGTGGGGAGAAATTGAGTGCAAGGTGGTATCAGTAGCTTTTATCCTGATCATGCAGTTATTCTCATAATGTGTAATGTGGCCTGTCTTTGATTATTTTAAGTAAAACACATATTTTTATTCCATGGGAGGGGGAAGGTCTTGCAGAAAATGACTTTGTGAATGTCTGAATTCAAAGCTAGAAAAAAATTGCCATCTGGTTTTCTGTAATTGTTGTAAGCTTGTAACCTGCCATCTTGAATAATTCTGTTTGATGAGATCTTTCTTTCAGTTAAGTCATTAACAATGCCTTTACTGGTGGTCATCAACCTGTATACAAAATACAATGTTATAAGTACAATATGTTACAAAATCTTATGAAAATGCTGCACTGAGGTTTTCAAAATGAATTATCTAAATGTGTGAGACTTCTTCCATTTGATCTTCCATTTTATTCAGTTTCTTTTTTATGCTTTCAGTTTTGTACATATCAGTGTTGTTGGTGTAATAATATCAACTTTTCAAGTTGGATATGAATTCATTCAAGCATAACACATCTAAGGTTTCACTCCTACCTTTATTATCTGGGACATGGCATGTGTAATCTTTGTAGTCTTCCAACATTTTGCAAATCAAGGCCATTTCCACATCAGATTATATTATGTCGGGAACTTAAGCTTGGTAATGATGGTGTGCATTGCCTGTGTTTTGTAAATAACAGTAAGTTTAAATGTTCAGTGTTCTGTCACACTTAAACTCTCTCCTTACAAGATGATGATAAATCTAATACGTTATAATTTCCACTTTTCCAGCTCCATCATTCAGATCGGTCCTAGAGAGTCGACGTTGAAGAGGAATTTTCAGAGGATCCAAGAAAACGAGGGCAGGCTCACGCCGTCTCCCTATGCAGTACCCCAGAGACAACAACAACAACAGCAGTTCTTCCCTAATCCACAGTTACAACAACAACAAATGCTCAGGTAGGGTCTGTTAACATCATGGTTATCAGTTAAGAATGTATTGGTCTGCTGTTTAAGCCCCATAGTACAGCTCTGTTTGACAGTAAGAAAATGATACATAACACGCCCACAACTGGTCGATCATCGAGCAGTCATTCTGCAACCAAAGCAATGTCTCCTTTCTACCACCTCAGTGATTCTAGTTTAATGGTCGCATGAAGGATGCAGAAAGAATGCCATGTGCCAGTGAAAAGAAAGTTTTAGCACGAATAATATCATCACAGTCTAGCTGATGGGGCATTTTACCAGTCTGTCTTTATATCATAATTACAATGATTTCAGGCAACAACAGCAACAACAACAGCAGCAGCAACAGCAGCAGAGAGCACACCAGATCCAGCAGGCTCAGTTTGCACAGAGGCCACAGATCCAGAGACCCAACCAGCCCCAGATGGGGGTGATGCACCAACAACAGCAGCAGCCTTCATCTTCCCACCACCAGGGGCAGCACCAGTCACAGCCACCACAACAAGCCAAGCAGTTCCCTGTGCAATCTAGAGTTATAGGTGAGGGGTCTCTTTGAATGTTATTAATTAAAATATTAATTAACCCTTTACATATTTCTCAGGAGAGGAATAAATTAGTGTGATATTTGACTTATGCAGTAGAATTATTGCTGTATCATTTCATAAGTCCATTATTAGATTTTTTACTTTTATGTAATATTAACATATTAGATGGATTAGGACATTCAGTCGCCCTTTAGTTAATTCCTTTATTTTTAATTTATTAGATATTTCATATTCTTAATCCTTGAGATCACCGTCTGATGATTAATAGTGTAAGACTGGTATCAAAGATTTGTATATTATTACACACATGAAAAAATATTTCAAATAAATTTCAGTTGTACCGACTCCACAACAGCAACAGCAAACTCCACAGCAGCAACAACAGGGTGCACACGCTGATCTTTCACGCCAAGCGTCGGCACAACAGCGTGCACGTCCTGAGGTAAAGCACGTCCAATCAGAGCCCAGCTTGAAGGCATGTATATCCGGTTGCTATGGGAGCAGGGGAAAGAGTGGCTTAGCCGTGTTGGTTGAGTACGGCAGTGGTGGTTTATGAAACTTGGTAGCCATTCGAAAATTTATCTTCTGAATCAGTTTGCTGGACATGAAAATCTGTCAGATTTATGCAGATGTTTGGGTGTTGTATTTTTACCCTCTTACCCTCCATATAGAAAATTTGCAATTTTCTTTTTAATTTTTAAAGGTTCACAATCATCACTAACTTTATTTGACATTTTGGTATAGAAAAGTTTTAACATTTTGGTTGTCAAAGGAAAAAATATAGCAGGAGAAATAGTGAAAAAATATATGATGACTTAAAAGGAGTTAACTAGTTTGTAAAAACATGACCAAGAAAACAAAATTGAGACATTACTAAAGTGGCTTATTTGTATTTGGAACAAAAAAGGTTGGAAATGTAAAATTTAAAACAGTTCAGGAAAAGTTAAATGGGTACCAGGTGTCATAAAGGATCTAAGTGTTGTTTTGCATGATAACTGAACTATTCAACAAAGGTTGGCTATAGTGGTCTTTAAGTTGTCATATTTTGAATTTAAAACAATTGTAAAATTTCTATTTTGATGTTCTGCCATGACTCTAAAAACCCCTTTCTTTATCTGAGATCAGAAAATTATGATGATCTCAGTTTGGCAGTTTCAGAAATTTGATAACAAATTGATCTAATTCAGATCTTTGGAGTTGTATGACAATTACAAATCAATAGAACCCAACTGATGTTGACTGGTTTACTTTATGTTGTCTTGAGTTTTGGCCATAACGTAGAAAACCAACCGTAGAGCTGATTTTATTAGCGTAAAACACATTCAGTCATTGCAGCTATACTTTGCGTTAAATCTTATGACTTTTCTTTATCACCATGACTGGCATTTTGTGCATCACTTCACATTAAGATGTACGACAGCAATGTTGTATTCTTTAATTTAGTATTTCAAATAATACATTATTGATGGGTTTATTTTATGGATTCAGCCATATTTCAGTTATGTGACACGGGGCTTACTCTTTCAAAACTTTTCAAGCAAGATGAAGAAATTATAATTTTTAGTAATATGTCAAAATAAAATAAGTTTGTCAAAAAATCAGTTCAAAACTAAACCAAATGGCAGAGTTTAGAAATGTGATAAAGTTAAGAGTAAGGCCAGTTATATGGTAAGAACCAATGCATAATTTCTGAAGTTGAGTATATTGTTTGGATTGTAAATGGTATTGCTCTCTTTTTGTAGCTCTCTAAATCTCAAGAGGTAACTCAGTAGTTGATGCTGCTGCATTAGTTGCTTTCTGCAGAATTTCTGTTGTCACAAACACAATCATGTCTTGTTTGCAAGATTTTGCTTCCTAATATATACATATATGTGTAAAGGCTCTGAATTTATGGATTTAAAGAAGCTTGTTAATTAGTATGGAAAATCTTTAAAACGTAGCTTCTGATAAACTCAGAACACTTTAAATCCTGTGAAAATGTTGTCACAAGATTGGAGAAAAGTTTTTGTGCAAACAAATAATCTTTGTGATTGTGACAATTTTGGTGTTTTTTCTTCTTCCTTAATTATTACTTGCTGTGATTTTTGCTGCTTTGTTATTTTTTGTTAATTTGCATTGAGTTGGCCTAGGTTGGAACCCCATGGTATTTGAATATGAAAACCCTTACCCACAAACCACTGGGGCCTGTGCTATTGATATATGAAAACCTCTATGATGATTGGACTCAAGATATTGTAAAATGAAACCCCCTACCCACAAATGATTGGGGACTGTGCTTTTCATACATGGAATCTCATGTTTGTTGATAGAACCTCATGCTGTTGATGGTTGAAAACCCCTACCCACAAATGATTGGGGCTTGTACTATTGATGTATGACAACCACTCTTTTGATTGGACCCCATGGTATTGGAATATGAAAAACCCTCCCCACTGTTGACTCTGTGAGACTCCCACTCCCCACCACAGCTCTCAACTGGTGGCATTTAACCCTCTCCCTCTTATCCTATGATTGGTAATTATTCCCAACGCACATTTTTATAGCAAGGATATTGGGCCTTGGTGTCCATATGATAACCCGAGTATTACAAGGTCATGTGTTGCAGTAAAAAGCACATCTTTGGTCAGGGTCTGTTTTCTTGTAGGTGTATTCCAATGCACTATAGTAAGACATTGTGTCAACCTACTGGTGGAGGCCATTGATGACTAAGTCTCAAGGACACTGTTCTTTCAGGCCTGTAGTCAGCCATTACAAAGTGTTTATTTTTTAATAAATGGACATTTTCACCCCCTCAATTTTACCCAACTTGAGAAATTGCCTAGAACTCGGATAAAACTTTGATTCGGAAGGGTTTTTTCCTGCCTAAAAGGTTTTTTCTCTCCCAAAGTAGCCCGTTTCTGACCAAAAGGGCGGTTCCTTCGAACCATCCTACCTACAGGCCTGACTTTCCATTGTTTTCTTAATATGTAGGCTTTTGATAGACAGTAGTTGAACACCAATATTATCTGTATATTCCTGCACAGCTTTGTGTGTTTCTGGAAATATATAGCAATTATCTTGGAAGGTGATTACAAAACTTATAAAATTTTCTTTAGCTGACTGTGACAGTAGTGTCTAAAATGCACCATAGATGTCTCTGAATTGAATTAAAATGAATATATCTCTCTGTAGTGTAGTCATGATTGTACTGTTCTCATACAACTGAAAATTGATTTTCCATTGTTAGTGCATTGTAAAGATTCATAATGGCATTTACACAAAGTTGCCAATATTACAGTTCGCAGAATGCTTAGTGCTCAAGTTTTTTGACATGGCATCAATAAAAAGTGTAATGGTATATGAGAGAAAATCAATAGGCAGGCAAGTGTAGAATGCACATTAATAGCTGTAGTTGGGAAACTTGTCTTTGCATGGAAACAGCCAAACAAATTGTACAAATGTTCCTTGTTATTCTAATTGTCTCTGATGTTCTTGTTTTGTCCGGTTGCACTGCAAGTCATTTCAGTATAAATTTGGTCGAACTGATTTGAAAAAAAAATAGATTGCAGTGCACCATGGGTATTTTGTATGTGGTGTCCAGACTGAACTTGGGATTGCATATATATATATATATATATATATATATATATATATATATATATATATATATATATATATATATACACACATATACAGAGCTCTGCTTCAGCAGTGCTTCTCTACCAATCACAAAGCAGGGCTCATTCACACACTGGGCTGACCAAGTCTGTGAAATGAGCTGGAATCTCTCATTGGACAAGGCTGGCCAAATAATTTCCTCCGGAATCATCATGATCCCTCAGATTTTTCTTTGTCATTACATTTGAACACCTGATCTCATTGAATGAAGTAGTTATTTTCAGGATTTGCTCAGTCCTTTGTGTGAATTAACCCATACAGTTGATTTTTAATTCAAATGAATACTTTTCTTTGGTAGTTTTTGTTCATTTGCAAGATATTTAACTTGAAATGACCAGTTCGTTTGATTGATTGTTGATTTCAGGAATTTTAAGTTCATAAAATGATTGGTTGACTTAATTGATTTGAAATATATGTAGAGTTTAATATTGTAGTAAAATATTCAACTAATTTTAAAATTCTGAATGATAGAAATTGTCTCATGTGAAAGTAAAATATATCTATTTAATGATATTTATAGAAATCACTAGATCCAGTTCTTTTAACTTCAGTTCAAATAAGGATAATTTTGCTGGGAAATCAACAGAAAAACTTGTACACTACAGACTTATAAGTCAGATGTAACATAGCTATAATGCTGTGATTTCAGAACACCACCATCAAAGAAACTTCCATATATCTGACACTTTTATTTTGGCATGTCCCTACCAACTAAACTGCATTATTTACACTTTCTAAAATTCTGATTCCAAACTCCCACATTTTCTGCAGGACCTGGATCGTCTTGCAGCTCAGCTGAAGGGGATTGCCGCGGGCAATGAGCGTGTTACCAGTGATATTCCTGAGGTCGTTGATGATGATTCTGACGAGGAACCAGAGGTCATTGGGGTCAGCAGTAGAGCCGGAGGCGATGGGACGCTACTGGCTTCAGAACCTGCCAGGCCGCTGTAAGTAAAAGTTAAGGCATGGCTTCTAGGGTAGTGGGATGTATGAGGGACATATCAAAGTGACTGCAACAGAAATATGCCTTCATAACTATAAAAATATGTGTGTGGTTTTAGTCTTAATTCCATACCGAGTTTTAACCAAGCCAAACTATTATGAACATGCAGGGCCTGCAAGTTATTAGTTCCTTGACTGAAATTTAGTACAAGTTTTGTCTTGGTTGAAAACTTGTTGAAGAATCAGGTTATGTGATCCCTGGTGATGACCGTCTACTTTATTCCCAGGTTTACAAAAGTCTAGGTTTGAACAGTGATGTTATCCAATCATGTTATTGTATTGTATGAAAAGTATAACATATCTGTCTCGTTTCTTCAGTCCTGCAGGTGGCTACAACAGAGATACACTAGAGACGCTAGAATCTATGATAATACACGATGGTAAGTTTTTGATACTAAATTTATATTTTTACTTGATGGTAAGATTTGATATTTACTTCAGTTATATATGGTGGTAAGTTTTTGATGTAAAATTCATACATATTTATACATGATGGTAAGATTTTATATTAATATTTTTTTAGTGGTGTTAAGCATTAGGTTATAAAGACAGTAAGCACCTGTTGCATCTTTTTCCATTCCTGATATGAATATTTGATTGAAATATAGACAAAAGACCTTGATCAACTGAAATCTTTTCTTTATCAGGCCTTACTATATCAGTTTGATATTGATGGAGCATTTTGAATGTGGTCATATGTTTGGAATTGATTCACAAATTCTGAAAGTTTTCATTATTTGCTGTCAAAATGGCCAAAGAAAGATTTACCTGAAGATTGAGAACATTAAGTGTTTGTGAACTTTGTCTTTTTTTTAAAAACCTTTTAAAAAGAACTGACAGTGAAAACTAAAGCCACTGTATCAGAATTAAAATATATATTAATTTTATTATTCTATTGCAGTATACAAGCCAATTAAAGAAGCATATGTATGAATTTGTTCTATGTTTTAGATGTGCGTTTTCAGTGTTTACAACTTACACACAATCCTGTCAGCCTTTTCAGACTTCTGTTAATGCTATTCCAAAACTTTATTCCTTAAAATATGTTTAAGGCACAGCCTTATTTATTCCAGGTACCTCAATCCAAATCAACTTACCTCCCAGAAAACTCAGGAATAGAAAAGTTATTTCTTCAGATATTGTTTCGTTAATCTAAATTGTCATTCTCTACTTTAGATGTGCCTTCTACGCAATCTTCCCCAGAAAAGCAGCCCAGCAGCTCCAAGAATCAAGACAGAGAAGGCGATGATGGCACTCTTGTTGTGAGAAGGGTGAGTTTTTCAAATTTTTGACATCCTTTTTACTGACTGTAGGTGTGAGTACACCAAATTCTGCCCACCAGTTGTGCTATGCAAATTTACATACAGTATACGTTAACTTTACATTGAAATTTTTAAGTGTTTACTGTGTTTGCCACTCAGCTAAAATATATAAATAGATGAATTTTAAGAAATAAAATAAAAATGTAAGATGCCTCGGTAAGAGTCAAAGCAGGGACTACAAGTGTGTTAGTATTGTTTTGGTGCTGGCAGCCTTATTTGAAGAAAAAGTATGTGAAGTTTGAATTCTGTACTGATATTGGTGATTGAATCTGTAAAACTTAATCTGTTATTGTTCATTTAATTGGAACAAAATCATTGAAAAGATTTCCACAAAGTCATGTTTGAAAAATAGAAATTAAAACTAGCATTTAGAAAGTTTTGAAAATTTAGTCAGGTTATCATTGAAAAGTACATTCTCCTGAGTAACTGAAAATGAATAATCTTGAACAATTCATATATTAAAAGATGTAAGTTACAGTTAATTTGAGGTGCTTGAAAAATTTTAAGTATTTACCATAACACCACTACTTCATATTCAGTTTCGGACAGTCCAGGTTTGAGTTCAAAACTTGCCAAATTTGTTCATCGCAAGATCTATGTATCGCAAAAATCTTTTGTTGTATGTGGCAAGGGTCACTAAGAAAAACCTCCATTTTTCTAGGAAATGGGTGAAACCTTTCAGTGTTATTTAGCAGTGGTATGTCATTCTCTAGGGCAATATCCGAGGTGTAATGATCTTCCATGAAAAGACTTTTCTGCAAAGATTTCTCGTGTAGTGTTTTAATCACTTGGAAAGAAAAGATGGCGCACCACCCAGCAATAAAGGACTTATATCTTCCATATGCCACTTGTCTGTGGGATTGGTAATATTTTCTCTTAGGGTCTCGGATAACTAGAGAACCAGCCGGTAGCAGACGGCCGGTGTACAGATTCCCCACCAGAGGTCCTTCCAGATTTTTCAAATATCTGACGATTGCAAAGTAGTTCAGGGTGACATCACTGCCGCACCTGATCACAAACTGTGCTTGGGGGCAGTGTTGTAGTGCCCAGCGAAAAGCTAAGAAAGTCTTCAAAGTATAGTTAGCATATGAGTCTATAAACCCAATCTTGACAATGTCACGGTAGCGGAGACTTTCATCGGAGACGCTTTCTTCCACCAATGGATCATCAGTTTGCCCCACTATGTATACGGTCCGTATCGTTTCTCCCTGATAATTTTTTACGCTTCCGCTGTATTTGCGAAAGAGGTCTCTTTTGCTGGGATCCCGTGGATTAGTGATAACAAGAGTCAGTAAAAAGGGTCCCCTCTCTGTTTCCTTGCATGGTGATGGTATGATGTAGTCGTACTTACCCAAGTGGAACCAAAGGTCCCAGATTTGGGCCTTCTCTGCACAAATTTCCTCCGATAGAAAACAGGCGGAATTGCCTGAACTATTTCTGTGTGAAGAAATGGAAGACTTTGAATCAAATAAATCCTTCTGTGGTTTTATAAAGTTGATAAATGTATCATGATACTCATACCAGGTAAATGATAAAAATGCCATCATAAAAACAGCATAAAACATGTTACAAGTAAACTTCTGCTTCCAAAATTTTGCCATCTTTTATGTATAAAAGTCTCTGGTTTATTACGATTCTCACTTCTAAGTATGATTCTTTGTGGATCATATGAGAAGGACAGATCTCATATTTATGCAGCTGTGGGTTATTGAAATCAAGTTTAACTTAAATTTTTGATGAAATCTTGGTCTGTGGCAGAAAGAAGAGATAGAACCAAACTAATGCAGGCAGAGACGCCTTTCTCATATACCTCTGCCACCTGGCGATATCCATTCATTGTTAATACCCTGTGAAATGTTCACCCAATGACGTGTAATTTACACTGGCAAAAGAGGGTAGGGGATAAATGCATGTATAGTTTACGATATACAATTTTCTTTTTGACTAATGTCAAAGATAATTTTATTTGGCTTTCTGAACAGAACATGGATGTTTGTTAAATAAATGGGTTGAAATTCTGTCTGCACTTAAGAAATTATGTAGACGGCATTACGAACGCATACTAGTGCATAGAAATCACCCCTTCAGTGTATCAGATGTGATTGTGTGTCATAAAGATATATCATTCAAATTCTTTGCTATTTTAATACAACTAATGGTGTAATTTGAAGGATTTGTACATTTTATGAAAACAGGCCAATTGCTTGGCCTACTTGTCTGATTGAATGGCATTATGGGATAAGCATGGACAATAGGCTGGATTTATAAAGCAGAGTGTGCCGTTTGTCAGGAGAACAATGGCCTCAGGTGTAATCTGTTTCTTACCCACCTGGTAGAGAAGGTGTGCATTTGACTAAGTGGGTAAACACTGCCCTTCTACAGGGAGCACTTTCTGGTCTTTAACATGCCTTGTCAGGGCTGAGACTTTGATTGAACATTGAATGATATCTACTGATGTGAATGTTATTATCTTCCCAATTGGTAATTTAAGTTAAAATGTGTTGAAAGGTAAAGAAAGTGTTAGTTTTGAGTTCTACAAAATCAACCACCTTTTAAGAGAGTTGATTTTTTTTACCAGTATGAAAAGCTTACCTTATGCTTATGTCACTTCATATTTGGTTACAGAAAATGAGATGTAGTGGCAAATTTGAGTCGTGTGACCTCAGCTATCTTTATTGGTACAGACACAATTATACTAAGACCTGTATGTAATTACACAGATACTAAGTCATGTTGAAAACACACCATGAATCACACCTTTCCATTGCAATGCAAGCTGGATGAAGGTAGTAGAATGTATTGAAGGGCACTTAACTGACAGTTTGGATTGTCTGTTATCTCAGAAAACCAGGTGCTGCGGTAGAAGTTGATCCCAAATATATGACAAAAATGATGAATTTAAACGCACTTGATCTTCCTGTATAAATGATGGAATTATATTGAAGAAAGAGTAAAAAATGTCAAACTAATTACAATGCTTCTTAGACATAATTATATTCGTTATGGATTACAGAAATCAGGGCACTACACAATGCATAATTATATTACATAACCAAGCCACATGCTCCTGAAAATGGTGGGCCCTGGAACAGGCACAACTAACACCCTTTGGTGACCAATCAGGGCCTTCCCTTCCCCAGTGGCAGATGGCGTGCTTGGTCCAATACCGCGTGTGTCTCCTGTCTGTGGATTGCTCACTTTTGTGTCCCGATTGCCCTTAAATAATTGAAAGCTGATCCTAAGGAGAGATTAGCTTAACTGCTTTAGGGGTGTAGGGAACTGCCTGAGGAAGAAAGAGAATGTTGTCAGCATTTACTGTCGCAGAATATTGTAACTCCTTAAGGGAGGATCTCGGAAATGGAGTAGCAGTTCCGTGTTGAGAGAAGTGAAAGGCTAATTTGAGAAAAAGAGGCACGCATTGTGGGTTTCACATTTAGGGCTTGAGTGACAGAATGAAGTTCATATAACCATATATCCGGGAGCACTTGCTTGGAGGTGTTTAGAGAAGTTCACATATTACAGTGAGAGACAAAGCGTCACATACGTCCCAATCTTATTAATTTAAGCAAATAAGGACTTGAAGTGATACCACAAAATTTAGTACAGTGGAGAGAGAGAGCTCTACCTCACACTTCTACAAATAATAACAAGAACAGGAAAAAGAACATTGTTTGTCAGAAAATATCCTGGTGATACTAAAGAACACATAAATTGACAACAACTAGGTCAACAAAGTTGACAATACATCGAGAACTTTGAGGTCAACAGCATTGACAGAGTATTACAAGTGCTGCTGCTATGTACACAGTAGAATCCTAGAAGTCAATAACAGCTTAGGTTACAGCATGAGAACTTGTTCACATGTTCCAAGTGTTGTTGGAGAACAATAACTGCCAGACAACTGCGAAGTGGTTTAAGCCGACTCACTGTATGTGAAGTGTCCTCACTGGTTGGAATTACTACCGAATATCGCCTCTTAAGAATTGTTGGGATTGGTTAAATTACCTGGAAACAAAATAACGAGTGATGCCAGTTAAATGCACAGCTACGGATAACGTAGGAAATCTCTGAAGTCAAGGAAAGAAGAACCGAAAGATTCATACTGTTAAATAGTTGTATGTCTTCGCTGCTTGACATTGTGGGAAACTACTGTTGAGGTGATGTTACTATCAGGTGCGCCTTTGGAGATAAATGGGACATTTTCCGTAAAGGAATACAAACAAGACCCTTTTGTCAACCTAAACACACCCAGTGTTTCCTCAGCAAGAAAATATTATATGGACAACAGTTTGATTCTCTGATTCACCTGGAAACACTAGTCTTAACAACGTACGGTTTCTGCAATTTCCTGAAGTCGCTGCCTCTTGGAAACCAAAGTGATTGAGCATTTGCTCAAGAGCTTTTTTCACAATAATTGGAAAATTGTGAAGGCTGAAGATGTAGTTGCGTGCTGCTCGGCTGTGACAGGTGCCCTAGGGACCGTATAGAAATTGCAGTACCCCTCTGGGACCGTTCAAGTCATGCAATTGGCCTATGACAGCGTGTCAAGGGAGATGTAAGGGTAAAGCTATTAGTCTTTTGATGCCATTATAGAGCTCATTCTTTCCTGGAAACCAAAGAAGAAATAAATTGCTAAAAGTGTTGCAAAGGATACCTGGAAACATTTAGAAGAAGTAACTGATGATGCAGTTTTGGCTATTAAATACCTCGGAATTTCTGGGAGAGGCTAGAATTTGTTGTGAACTTATCCTAATGTTTAAGTGGCTAATTTTAAGTGCCTAGGAAAAAAAAGGGAAAACCAGGACCAAAATGATGCAACAGAACTTGATGAGATACCTGGAAAATCTAGGAAAGCATCAACTTGTGTGTTAACTGTTGTTACAAAGTGCCTGGAAAGACAAGGAGCGTGGTTGTAAGCAAAGTCTGCGGGTAAAAAACGTATAAGACAT